TTACATGTCACGAGTCACATTAGGAAAATATATTACCACAGAAAACTACATGGAGGTGGTGGTGGTTGTGTATGGTGTGGTGGTGGTTGTGTATGGTGTGGTGGTGGTTGTGTATGGTGTGGTGGTGGTTGGGTATGGTGGTGGTGGTTGTGTATGGTGTGGTGGTGGTTGTGTATGGTGTGGTGGTGGTTGTGTATGGTGTGGTGGTGGTTGTGTATGGTGTGGTGGTGGTTGTGTATGGTGTGGTGGTGGTTGTGTATGGTGTGGTGGTGGTTGTGTATGGTGTGGTGGTGGTTGGGTATGGTGGTGGTGGTTGTGTATGATGGTGGTGGTTGTGTATGGTGTGGTGGTGGTTGTGTATGGTGTGGTGGTGGTTGTGTATGGTGTGGTGGTGGTTGTGTATGGTGTGGTGGTGGTTGTGTATGGTGTGGTGGTGGTTGGGTATGGTGGTGGTGGTTGTGTATGGTGTGGTGGTGGTTGTGTATGGTGTGGTGGTGGTTGGGTATGGTGGTGGTGGTTGTGTATGGTGTGGTGGTGGTTGTGTATGGTGTGGTGGTGGTTGGGTATGGTGGTGGTGGTTGTGTATGGTGTGGTGGTGGTTGTGTATGGTGTGGTGGTGGTTGTGTATGGTGTGGTGGTGGTTGGGTATGGTGGTGGTGGTTGTGTATGGTGTGGTGGTGGTTGTGTATGGTGTGGTGGTGGTTGTGTATGGTGTGGTGGTGGTTGTGTATGGTGTGGTGGTGGTTGGGTATGGTGGTGGTGGTTGTGTATGGTGTGGTGGTGGTTGTGTATGGTGTGGTGGTGGTTGTGTATGGTGTGGTGGTGGTTGTGTATGGTGTGGTGGTGGTTGGGTATGGTGGTGGTGGTTGTGTATGGTGTGGTGGTGGTTGTGTATGGTGTGGTGGTGGTTGGGTATGGTGTGGTGGTGGTTGTGTATGGTGTGGTGGTGGTTGTGTATGGTGTGGTGGTGGTTGGGTATGGTGGTGGTGGTTGTGTATGGTGTGGTGGTGGTTGTGTATGGTGTGGTGGTGGTTGGGTATGGTGGTGGTGGTTGTGTATGATGGTGGTGGTTGTGTATGGTGTGGTGGTGGTTGTGTATGGTGTGGTGGTGGTGGTGGTTGTGTATGGTGTGGTGGTGGTGGTGGTTGTGTATGGTGTGGTGGTGGTGGTGGTTGTGTATGGTGTGGTAGTGGTTGGGTATGGTGGTGGTGGTTGGGTATGGTGTGGTGGTTGGGTATGAGGGGCTGATGAACAAGGCAGACTCAAGGCCGCCTCCGCGCCTTTCTACGCCGCCCGCCACAGAGTCACCACCGCCTACGCCCATGTGAAGTTCACACCATATTCCCACACCCGTCCCTTCTCCCCCCCCCCCCCACCCCACAAAATTTCCGACACCGCCTGTATCCTCCCCCGCACATACACAAGGGGGTCTGGTAGCTGAGTGGACAGCGCGCAGGACTCGTAATTCTGTGGCCCGGGTTCGATTCCCGGACCAGGCAGAAACAAATGGGTAGAGTTTCTTTCACCTTGATGCCTCTGTTACCTAGCAGTAAATAGGTACCTGGGATTTAGACCGCTGTTACGGGGCGGCTTCCCGGGGGGGGGGGAGGGGGGGAGTGTTTGTGTATGGAAAACAATAGTAGTTAGTAACAGTTGATTGACAGTTGAGAGGCGGGCCGAAAGAGCAGAGCTCAACCCTCGCAAGCAGAAATAGGTAAATACAAACCCACTTACCCCACACAATAAAACACCTAAGTCACCATCTCGAAGCAACCCATCCTCCGAATTGACAGTATGGTTTAATACTAAGTGTAATGTCACCTCAACACCTATGGACGATAGCGCCTCAATTGCTGTGCATTAATTACGTGGCAAGGATGGAGCACCTGGTTGATACCCGCTTGATGGGGTTCTGGGAGGAGTTCTTCTACTCCCCAATGTGAGTTTGATCCACTAGGCTGTTGCTTGGAGCGGCCCACATATCCACCACAGCCCGGTTGGTCCGGCACTCTGTACTTTAGTACTTCTATCTGCATTTCCATGTTTTGTGAGAAATTCGAAGTTTTCTCGAATATGAACGGTATTTGAGTATTCCTCAGAAAGCGACCCACAACGGTCGACTAACAACCAAGTTCCTAATTACTGCTAGGTGAACAGAGGCAACGGGTGCAAGGAGACGCGCCTAGCTGTCTCGCCCTGCCCAGGTCCGGCACTCCTCGGAGGAAAGAATCTAGTTTCCTCTTGAAAGAGGAGTGTGGTGAGTGGCGGCGGGGTCAGTGGTCCCCATAACCGGCACCAACGCTGGGGCCGCCGGTCAAGGTCGCACTCTTTATTTTAACCACCGTTTTCTGTGAATATTGACAGGTCGATAAGTCTAGCAAGTCTTATGACGTCACGGCTCCCAGCCTTTTGTCAGGGAGTTACTGACCCTCTGGGCTGCTTCGTCACTCATCTGGAGTTCCACTGACCTTCCCTGCTGTGTTGGTCGCCTCGCTGTCTACACCACCCACTGTTTCCTTCTATGATATTTTTTTTTTTGTATTTTGCCCCGAGGGGCGAGTTTATTGGGCAGCGCCACTCATCTTGTGAGTGGAGATACCGTCATAGTAGAATGTACAACACTCCCCAATAGGAAGAAAACCCGCTGGGTTGTTCATCCTGTCACTTGTACCCAGACACAGCTGGGACTTGCTTAACTGCCTCAAGTGAACAGCTCCTCAAACAAGAAGATTAACATCTATCAACCCTTAAAAGCTTACGTTATCATGCGGGTGCAAAATGGGGGAAATCTTTTAAGAACAGTATCAATATTTGACAAATAGTGTTTTCCTAACTCAAACAATGTGGGGTTTATTATTCTACACATATTCCTAATGTCTCTCAGGTGTTCACATTCACGTAGATAGTGGTCAAGGCGGTGTCTGTCACTCTTGGTTAATCAAGTTTTGTTGGCCGGTTGTTTGGTTGTGTTGTTTTCTTGCTGCAAGCCTGCATGCCCAGTCAGGGCGGGGGCCATCTGTATCCACTCAGTCTTCCATGTATCTATGAAGCCTAATTTTAAAGCTATCTATACCAGTTGATATACCATGAGATATTAACCAAAATATAATTCACCCGTGTCAGCTTTTGCAGATGGCACAATCAGGATGAAACAAATCCACAAGAGGTGGTTCGACGAGGATTCGAACCTTCGTCCGGGAGGTTCGCAGGTTCGAATCCTCGTCACGGCCCTTGTGGGTTTGTTCATTTGATGCATCACGCTATTGTGATTTCTGTGTGTAATCAGCATGAAACTCTGTAGAAGACATTGAAAAACTACAAGCTGATATGAATAAAGTTTTCAATTAGGCACCAGGAAATAACATGATTAACAGTGATAAATGCCAGATATTTAGGTATGGTAAAAATTAAGACCTTAAACATAATACCGGGTACAAAGCACAATCAAATCTGCCCATAGCAGGAAAGCGGCATGTAATGGATCTGGGAATAATGATTTGTGACGACCTAACGTTTAGGGAACATAACCAAGCAAATATTGCATCAGCCAGAAACACGTGGTAGGAGGGATTACGAGAACCTTCAAATGCAGTGATCCCATCACAATGCTCACTATTCCGATCATTTGAGGTGTTCCGTCTTGAGCACTGCTTGAGACCCCCCCCCCCCCTTGTCAGTCAGATACTTAGTCAGCAAGGCAGACAGCCCGCCTGCTTTCATACCTCTCACTGTATTTCCCACTCTCTTCACCTATGCCTCTCCTTCCTCTTTACTCCCCCCCCCAACAAAAACCCGTTGATCCCCCCCCCCCCCCAGCAGTTACCATGACCCCCCTCAAGATACCCCGTGACCCCCCCCCCTCAAGATACCACCACCCCCCTCGCAGCCACCTGAGATTCCGGGTTCAATCCCCCGGTGGAGGCGGAGACAAATGAGCAAAAAGTTTCTTTCACCCTCATGCCCCCGTTACCTAGCAGTAAATAGGTACCTGGGAGTTAGATAGCTGCTACGGGCTGCTTCCTGGGGTGGAGGCCTGGGCGAGGACCGGGCCGCGGGGACGCTAAGTCCCGAAATCATCTGAAGATAACCTCAAGATAACCCCTGACGGCCACCCCGTGCCCCCGCACGTGCAAATGTATTGTAATTGACTGTGGGAAGACTTACCACCTTTGCTTTTAATTATTCATGGTGACCAATTGTAGTTAATGAATGTGGTGGTAATGGTGTCTTAGGTGGGCTAGTGGGCATGGGAGGGAGGGAGGGATAGTGTGGGCATTGAGAGAGAGGGAGGGAAGGAAGGTTAATGTTTGTGTGGGGAAGGAGGGTTAAGGAAGGGGTAATGTGGGCATGGGAAGGGAGAGAGGGTGGGTTAATGTGGACGTCTATCATTAGTGTGTTTGATAGAGAGGTAGTGTGGGTGTGGGCGAGGGTGGGAGTAGTAGGGTATTTTGAGACAAAAAAGGACTATGCCAAAGCTAGAAGATAGAAGAAAGAGGTGATATGATAACCATTTACAAAATACTACCATGAATCGACCAAATTGACAAAGAGGAATTCTTGAAATCAGCAACTTCAAGAACAAGAGGACACAGATTCTAGCTGAGGAAACAAATTAAAGTGTCGAACAAATATTTGAAAGTTTTCTTTTGCAAACATAGTGGTTAGACGGTTGGAACAAGTTAAGTAAGAAGGTGGTGGAGACCAAAACCGTCAGTATTAGAAGTTTCAAAGCGTTATATGACAATGAGTACTGGGAAGACGAGATACCATGAGCATAGTTCTCCTCCTATAACTACACTTGCGTAATTACTCAAAATGCACACACAATACACAAAATAAAAAATACACACATGTACAAATGAACAAGAAATGGGCTCTGCAAAACTCTTCCGATGCTGTAGAAATGTTTTGGGAGGAATAAATAGAATTACAGTACTGATTCTCTGGCGATTTTACTTTTAGAAGGTGCACAGTGTATTAATTTTGTTCTTGTTTTTCAGGATGTTGGAATGAGAAGAGCGCTATCTGCAACCAGTCGGCATGTGTCTCTAATACCAAACTGCACAACGACAGTTATTTCTGCTGTTGCACAGGGCACATGTGCAATGATAATGTATCACATATATTAGACCCCACCCCCAGTCCAACTGTTACTACAGGTCCCGGTGAGTACTTGGCTGTGTTTGGGTCCCCATAGCCTCCAAAGATAATACAGTACCTGTAGCTACTGAGATTGAATGTACAAAGTTTGGATTATTGCCCCCATAAAAGTTCAAATTTACTGCTAGGGATATATCAAAGGGCAAAATAACAACTGAAACAACCTAATATGTCCTAGGCCTATTTGAGGTTTCCTGTGGCAAACTACTGACCTGAGGGTTTTGATGTCTGGGCATGGTATAAGGGTCAGGGGGTGCCTCACTCTACTTCACCAGCAGAGGCATTTAAACCCTTCCTTTGCCTTCTCAACCACAACCTAGTTCAGATTTTTCTCCTTGGGACGATACCTTTCTGTCCCAGGAATTGTGTGGAATATGGCTCTGCCCTGGGTCCATCGTGGCTGGCTTCTGGGCTGGGACTCCAAAGAGAGTTGAATTCTGTGTGCCATATGGTGCTTCAGAGTAATCTTATTTCTGGAGGTTCACATAGTCTCACTTTGTGCAGTCTGTGGCTCGTGCGGATCTATTTCGGTTCTTCCAATGGGATTCGGGCCTCGCTGTGTTCGACTCATTTGAGTTCGGGTCTGCCTCCTCTTATTGGTACTGTAGTGATATGAGGTCCTGAATTCATACTGGCTGGCTGACATCCTTCTCTTTTTTCCTTGGGGGGCTTGGCATGGGTTTTGTCAAATCTGAATGCTCAATTGATAGTAGCAAGCTCCATATGCACTCTGGAGCCCTTATTATGGAAGATACAGGGCTGATACCCACTTGGTGGCTGTCGTTCATTTTTTGGCTCTCATGGAGTTCTTTGCTGAGAAGGTTTGTAAAGGTGTAGTTTTGCTTGCTACAGTCTTGGGTGTGGAGGCCGCGTTGCCTGCAGTTCCTGCTTTAGCATTGTGGTCAAAGTTGCTCGTCCCTTCCTCCTTCGAGAGGAGGAGAAGGGGGGGCAGAATTTTACTTGGCTTGTTTTGTGTGCCAGCAGGCTTTTCTGGCCCAGGGTTTAGATTTGGTCTGGTCCTTAACTCTTGTCTTCCTTCCCCCTTTCACCTCTCTTTCCTGAGGACATTGTTGCTAAAGTTCTTTCAGCTGTTGCGGTGCTGCCTGTCACCCCACTAGTTAAATACTATATGGAGTTCTGTCCCTTTTTTTGAGAATCGGGCCAGTATAGTTGAAGCCTCACCTGCTGTTGGTCTGGTTGGGCTCTTGACAGTCTGATTATTGGGCCTTTGTGCTTCCTTAAGTAGTTGCCTTTCTGCTCGCTATCTCCATTTTACATTGCAGAAAGATGGCGCTGCTTGTAGCTCTTGCGCCAGGCCTTTCACGGTTCATCCCTTTGATGGAGGTGTTTGAAGGGGAAAAAGGGGAAGGCTGTCTAGCACCTTTGGCAGCTCCTGGTCCCTTGTTCTTTATACTTTTCTACTACCCCTTCTTGAGGTTATCTTGAGATGATTTCGGGGCTTTTTTAGTGTCCCCGCGGTCCGGTCCTCGACCAGGCCTCCACCCCCAGGAAGCAGCCCGTGACAGCTGACTAACTCCCAGGTACCTATTTTACTGCTAGGTAACAGGGGCATAGGGTGAAAGAAACTCTGCCCATTGTTTCTCGCCGGCGCCTGGGATCGAACCCAGGACCACAGGATCACAAGTCCAGCGTGCTGTCCGCTCGGCCGACCGGCTCCCCTTATGAATAAGTTCTTTTTAACCTCCCCTTGGCCCATATGACTGATAAGCTTCTGTCCATGTGAGTCTCGCTTTATCTACCATCTGATAACCTTGACAATCTTATTGGTTGAAGGATCATTGCTTTTCTTTATTTAAATGCCTTCTCTGGAGTGATATTTTCCTTATCTAGCATTTCCTATCTCTTGATGCACTTCAGTAGTTCATGCCTGTTTTTCCTTCTCTCTCTCTCTCTCTCTCTCTCTCTCTCTCTCTGAATACTCGGCTCTTATTTTGTGTTGACCTTCGTTTGCGTTGATATCATTTAGTTGTGGTAGCCGTTATGGAGTGAGCCTGTGCGCACTGTGTCACATGCTGGTATGTGTCTTCAGTTGAGAGTGCCACACTGCTGATGCAACTTGGCCTCATGGATATTATGGATAAATTTGTTATAATTTTTCCCATTATATAATCCATTGTCAACCTAAAGTTGGCACGTGCGTGTGTGTGTGTGTGTGTTTTGGAAGGGGTGAAGGGGGAATGTGATGAGAGAGGCATTAGTTATGATCTTGCTAATATATCAATTTCATGTTTCCAATTTTTTGCATTATACACAGTCATAATTACTAGACTCGCATTATAAATAATTAACGATCATACTAGTTGATGCATTGAAGAAATCTTCCATCCTCAAAACCACGAACCGAGATCTTTCCTTCCCATAAGTTGACTACATATATATCTGTTACAGAATTTGATGAAAAGGATGGGTTAACAGACTCGCTCTTGGTGCTGTATGTGATACTGGCAATAGTATTTTTATTGCTAGTGACATGCATCACAGTAACAGCTTTGCGGTGGAGGAGAACCAAGCCACCACCACACTCTACACAAGCTGAAGATCCTCCTAGTTCACCATGTATTGATATGGATTCTATTAAATTTATGGAAGTTATAGGTTAGTTTTTCCTTGCAATAATATTTGCATATATTGTGTACTGTGCTTGAAATTCTGCTGCATCCAAAATTTGCAGTTTTTATTTTATGACATTGTTTTTATTAGTGCAAATGATATACTGTAACACTTTTGTTTACATATTAAAATCAATTGGAAAAAATATTTATAAATGCTTTTTTTTTTTTTTTTAATTTTTTTTAACAAAATGCACTTCATGAGCATTCTCCAGTTATTTTTGTTATAGCAAAATACTGTATAACAATCATACTGTCCTACTGAAACACGCTCAGTTTAATCTGGCTTTCTAAGTTGTGTTCCAGCATTAGCCCATTTTATAGTATTGAAATGAACTGTGTTATTGTGTTCAGTACAGTATTTCACACTTTTATAGACTTTTCTCCTTAACAAGCTTTTGAATTCATTGTTTCTTCAGAATGGATATTATATTACCGTATTGCTGACCAAACCACACACTAGAAAGTGAAGGGACGACGACGTTATGGTCCGTCCTGGACCTCATCGTCCCTTCACTTTCCAGTGTGTGGTTTGGTCAACATATTTCAGCCACATTATTGTGACTTCTCATCTGCTTACTGTATTGCTATTTGTCATTCTTTTAGGTCAAGGTCGATTTGGTAGAGCATACAGAGGTGTGGTTCAGGGCGAGGAGATAGCGGTGAAGCTGTTTCCCCACCACTACAAATCTTCATATCAAAATGAGAAATATATTTATTCTCTTCCCTTAATGGAACATTCCAACCTTTTGTCATACCTAGGTAAGATTTGGATATCCTTGCAATTCAAAGTATGTTCATAAATTATAGGTAGAGTACTGTATTGGAATTGACAATACAGTATTACGGTTGTATTACAAAGTTTAATAATAAAGATTTTTCTTTTTTTAATGTGCATCCAATATACTGTAAATCTTTACTCTGTCCAGGTTTGAAATGACAAAGTATACAAAGGAAGCTTGAGAAATAAGTCATTATAAATTTAATTCAATATTAACAATACAGGAAGTAACTTCACATTAAATTTGTCTTTGTCATGCACATTAATACATTATCTCAAATGACTGAACTCTCTTAACTCTTAGGCTGCAGCATTCCCAACACTCATTGCTGCTGGTTATCTTGAGATGATTTTGGGGCTTTTTAGTGATCCCTGCGGCCCGGTCCTCGACCAGGCCTCCACCCCCAGGAAGCAACCTGTGACAGCTGACTAACACCCAGGTACCTAATTATTGCTAGGTAATAGGGGCATAGGGTGAAAGAAACTCTGCCCATTGTTTTCTTGCCGGCGCCCAGGATCGAACCCGGGACCACAGGATCACAAGTCCAGCGTGCTTTCCGCTCACCCGACCAGCTGGTACCACAGAGACGGCCACGTAACGTGGACATGGTCTAGCTTACTGATCACCAAGGTCAGAATTGGTGTGCTCATAGAGGTGAGGGCAGCATGGTGGTGATCCAAGACCTACTTTATTACTAAGTAAATTGCAGAGGTCGCCATTGATCAGTTGACTGCTTACAGATAGCCCCGAGGGATAATACCATTACTGATAATACTTGAGTGTATTCTGCACATTGATGCTATTGAGCCTAATATGACTGATGGGATGCTCTGCAGCATAAGGGTTAAGTGAATGGTCTTGTGTAAATTCTTGTTTGGTTTCACCCAGTTTTCATTCTTTTGTACAGACATGTAATAATAATTATATATTTTAATTGTAACCAGGTGGGGGTGAGTGCATTGGACCTGATGGTAACATATATTATGGACTGGTGCTGTCATATTGCCCCAAAGGTCGTCTTAGTTCTTTCTTAGCAGAAAATACTCTTAGCTGGTCTACATTTTGTCAGATTGCTTTGAGTGCCACGAGAGGTCTTGCACATCTACATTCAGATATAAGGAAAGGAGGTAAGCTTAAATTATGATCAGCGTAAGTGTCGTGTGTTGAGTATCATATGTATAACACTTTAAATTTTTGTTGTTGAATATTGTACTACAGATCCTTCACTCACAGTGCATATTTTATTCATCTTGCAATATTATGTAGTCCATAAAACTTTAACTTAAATGGCTACTCTACTTTTCATACGTTATTCAAATTTTATTTTGAAATACTGTACCACTGTTCTAACAACTGCCTAAACTTGTAATTCTAATTAAGGTCAACTACAGCTGTTGTAGGTCCAGCCAACGTGCACAACTACATATAAGTGCTTGTAGGTCTAGATAGCATGTGCAACTACAGCTGTGCATGTAGTTGTAAATAACATGCACAACTACAGTTGTATTAACTTTTACATAGTCTTTTGTCCTTATGAAGTGTTTTGGTATTTTATTTCAGATATCATCAAACCATGCATTAGCCATAGGGACTTCAACACCCGCAATTTACTGCTCACGGAGAATTTATTATGTGTCGTCTCTGACTTGGGATTTGCCATTCACACGCAAGGAGCCAAGTATTTTATTAACGGTGAAGAGCAGCACGCAGAGACATCATCATTGACAGATGTGAGTTCAGATGATGTTATGATGGCTGTATAGGAATATTAATGTAAACATCTTTCCTCATTTGACATTCTTAGGCATTTCCCCAGTAGAAATACCTTATATTTTTAAACCGATAATATTTTGTCAGCGTTTTCTGGGGGAACCTCCATTGGCTTCCTGAAGCTATCTTGCTGAGGTAATGTGAGGTAATTATGTGGAGAAAGCACTAAGCCAATATGACTATATAGGAAAATGAGGATAAGGATTTAGGATAGGATGGATGAGAGGAATGGTGCTTAACCCTTTAAATAGTCAAAGATTGAACACTAACCTGCAAGAAGTGAGTAATTTGTTGAATTTCTGAAGTTCTGCTGTAAACTTCACCACCAGCACTGTGTTCACTGATATCTGAATCTTGTACATATTCTTCAATCACAGTCAGGATCTTCCATGACAACTATCATCATAAAATAATCAGTTATTTATTTTGTCATTATTAATTGACACTGTGGGCACAAGCTGCACGGTGGTGCTGTGAGCTGCAGCAGCATGCACAACCTGCGGGTCACTCATTCAGTAATGAGGCCCTCATACCCATGAGGGGTGCCAATGATTATTTGCAACATGGCAGCTATTTATTAAATATTGCACCAAAGAGGCAAATGTGAGCTCTGTTTATGTGCATGTTTCAATTGTAATGTGTGCTACATCACCCAGTGTTAAACTCCACCCAGTAGAGGATGGTATCAGTGTAGTGTACTCAATACTCCACCCTGATACAAACATTCTGGTTTGCATCATAAGGTATGCCATTACAGGGATAACTTTAATGACTAGTGTGATTGAAACTCGTCTTGTTTTATAAGTTTCCAGCAGACTTTTTGTTCAAGATTTGGTATATAAATGTTTGGAGTGTAATTTATAAACTTGTTATTTTAGGTTGGAACATTAAGGTACATGGCTCCAGAAGTTCTTGAAGGTGCCGTAAATCTTCGAGATTGTGAGGCAGCCTTGAAGCAGATTGACATTTATGCTCTTGGTCTAGTGTTGTGGGAGTGTGCAGCACGGTGCCATGACCTTTACCAGGGCCTCCAAACTCCCCCATACAAGTTGCCTTTCCAAGCTGAAATTGGTATGTATTTACTGTATTTACTTCTCACAAAGAACATTCCTATAGGTCATTTCTTCTGTCCTCATCTTTTCACTTCAAGGTTTTGGTATCTATATTAACGAGTCCAAAAGTGTGGCTCTTCATTATGCTTTCGGGCACTTGTGGGCAGAATTAAATCAAAGTTATGATGATAGAGATCAGAGGCTGAATGTGAGGATGCTGCAGCCTCCAAGACCCAAAAGGAGTCCTGGAAATCTACAAAATTTGGGTTCCGGTATAACCTCAGGGACCCGCAAGAACCCAAATTTTGTGTTAGCTTTGTGCTTGGATGTAGCATTGTGACGTTTGTGTATAATAAATCTCTTCACTTTGACATAGCCCATCTGCCTACCCAGCTCATTCTCTTTTTACCGTTGAATATACATACAGGATTTTGAAATATATGTATAGTACAGAGGGGAAATGGGGTTGGCATTTTTGTCATTAATATTTGATCAGCTACAGTTGAAACATGCCTAATTTACTCACGAGTATTATTGAGACTTTACTGGAAAGGATTTAAGCTTGAATACTGTATTATTCCTAGCTTTGTAGTCATAATCTGCTCAAAAGAAATCTGAAAAATCTAAAAAATATGATTATTGAATACAAAATAAACATTTGAGAGTGTAATTTGTTGAATTTTCTCATTGGCAGGTCTTCATCCAACATTTGAGCAAGTACAAGTGCTGGTGACTCGCAACAAGGCTCGACCATTATTCCCATCGGTGTGGAAGGACACGAACCCTGCGATACGCTTACTCAAAGAAACGATTGAAGATTGCTGGGACCACGATGCTGAAGCACGACTCTCGGCTATGTGTGTTGAGGGACGATTGGCAGAATTACCTGTTCTCTGGGACAGATATAAATGTATGACTTTGTCTCTCTTTCAGTGGCATTTATATACAAATTCTTATTGCAGGTTACCTTATGCTCTTTGTTGATTGTGTAGATGTGCTTTGCTATTTCCTCTGGGCTGATTCCTGCTCATCTCATTGAATTGGAAAAATATAGTATTGATCACCATCATGATGAAAGAAAAAGGAATGGTTACCAGGCAAATTAAATGAGTTCAATTTGATTTTTGCAACATATAAATTAACTGGCACCTTGCAAATTTCGGTATCGAGTAATGAGCTATTTTTATTTTTGTTCTCATCTATTGTATTTGATCATTGCAGCAAGCCTAGGAGTAAATGGAGTGAGTCCAACAATGAACCCAATGTGTAATCTGGCAGTGACACAGAGACAGGGTGAAATGTTCAGTGGCCTCGTAGGAAATGGAGGGAAGGTCATAAGCAATGTTATCACTCCACGAGATAAGGAATCCAGTGTGTCTGAAGCAACTGTTGACACGACCATCACTATGTCCCCTTCAGAACCTCCATCTGATACATGTCTGGGTAAGATAGTAAATCTAAATATCCCTAGCTTTTCAACTATGTGTTGCATTATAAAGGATCATTGATGCTTGAATGTTGGTTTTCAGCTGTGTGTTGTGTGGCATGAAACTCGGTATACTGAAGCAGGCCAGGAATGATTGCATATGATCCATATCTAATTGTTGATCACACATTGAATGATCATTTCAATGGATTGGAGCACACCTTGAATGATCATTTTAATGGAAGCACTCAAGGCTTACCTCGAGGTTACCTTGAGGTGTTTTCAGAGCTTAGCATCCCCGCGGCCTGGTCATCGCCCAGGCCTCCTGGTTGTTGGACTGGTCAACCAAGCTGTTAGACGCGGCTGCTCGCAGTCTGACGTATGAGTCACAGCCTGGTTGGTCAGGTATCCTTTGGAGGTGTTTATCAAGTTCTCTCTTGAACACTGTAAGGGGTTGGCCAGTTATGCCCCTTATGTGTAGTGGAAGCATGTTGAACAGATTCAGGCCTCTGATATTGATAGTTCTCTCTCAAGGTACCTGTTACACCTCTGCTCTTCAATGGGGGTATTCTGCACATCCTGTCATGCCTTCTGGTCTCATGTGGTGTTATTTCTGTGCTGCATTGAAATAATATAAGAGAGGGGCTTATGACAGATGAGAACAGTTGAAAAACATTTTCATCGTCTTGAAGTAATTGTTTATAACTACACTAGTTTAATGACATAAGTACTAAGTACACTATAAATATAAAATATAAAAATGCTCTACTTTTGTATGAGTGGATGGTAAAAAAGTTGTCATATGTTCAGAAATGTTCCAGGTTAATTCTGAAAGAAACTTAATTTTAATGTGACTGATAAAAATATAGGCCTCTATTCTCTGCATATTCAAGAACATAAGCTTTTATATGGTACTGTGCTGAAATATCTGCAGTCTATTGTTCTTTATATATGACTGAACAATTTTGTATTAGGGATCTGAGATATATAGCTAATTATGTTTGTTTTCTTCACCGTAGGTAAGAATCAACTAATCGGGACATTGCAGCCTCCGATTCCACCCCTTCAGCCACATCAGGGTCGCAATCCTTGCATGGAACGCAACCTGATCAGAGAGGTCCCTCAACAGCTCAGTGTTTCGGGCAACATCCTTATAGATCATTTGAAAGGCAATGACATAAATTCTATAAATACTATTAATTCCGTGAACTTGATGGATGCACTAGATGTCCAACATGCTCTAGAGTCCCATGCATTTACTAATGAACAAATGATGCCTTTGTTGAATGGGCACTCTAATGCTGCCTCGGTGGTGTCACAGTCACGCCCTGCAATGCCGCCTCCTACTCTAGTGCAGCCAATACCATACGTTCAAAATGAAGTTCGTTCTATTGACAATCAACCAAAGCGGCAAAATACAGCCGTGCGGGAAGATGAGAATCGTGATCGTGGTCACAGTAACGGAAAAGGTAGTTCGTGGCGGAGATGGCGTAATGCATGGGAGGACAGATTAAAATCATTAATTCCAAGACGACGGCACCACAATGGAGAAGATGAGGAGAGACAAGAGATATTAGTTACCCCCACTAGTAGTAGTTTATCAGAGCCACCAACACCAGTGACTACATCACAGTCAGTGGCAGTCACAGCAGCAAATCTCCCCATGCAAACTGAGGTGCTCCTCACAAATGGTGGCCCTCATACTGTCATCTCCCCAAACCATGCACTGAATATTCAGCATTCATCGTTACCAAATTATATAGCTGAAACTGAGATTGGCATTGCAAAATTGCATCTGCAGAATGGATATGCACCAGTAATTAGGTCAAGACAAGGATCAAATGATAGTGGACTCAATAAATCAAGTGAAAACAGTGTTAGTTTCGTGGACAGTGATAATTCTTGTGAGAAATTAAAGAGACCTACTACGCTTACTCTGCCAGATAGGTCACGCCAAAGTCTTTCAAATAAAACTCAAACACAACAGTTGAATCAGGAGAATAATCAGGACACTCAAAGTACAGATTGTAATGAAAGTAATCCGGGATTGGACTGTGAAGAGTCGCCACCACTGAGAAAAGCGAAGCAGCGTGTCAAAACTCCCCGAAGGCCTATGAATCCTCGTCTTTCATTGTACGATGACCGCATTATGGGATGTGATGAGAGTGAGGAAGATGGGCAAGTTATCAAGGGTGAAGGCCACTTGGATGAAACCTTGTCACATTCCTTACCTCTTCATATGGATACACTGGAGCAGCAGCAACCATTCCTCACCAAAAGTGTAGTTGTAACATCAGTTCCCTCTCAGAACACCAGTGCAGCTTCCCTGAGGCATTCCAAGGTAGCTAGCACAGTGAGCAGCAACAAAGGTAGTAGTAGGGGTGGTGGCCAGACGTCGCTTGGACAAGAGCTTCCCTATACGCAGCCAAATTCCCAAGCAGTTGGTGTCCTGTAAATGTGATTTAGAAATTTAATGAAAGTTAATCAAGCAACTGCTTGCATTTTGTTATTTTGAAATGTAAGTCATCTGATGTATTTCAGAAGTTAAGTGATATATAATCTCACAGGACTTTGCCCTGTTGAGTGTGTGTGATTTAATGAAATATTCCAAGTTAGTATGGATATTGAGTTATGCTGCCAGTAGTGTGGAAGAGACATGTAAATGTTAGAAGAAGAGACATGTAATTGTTAGAACAAGGAGCACTGCATGTCAATATCATATATTTACAAGCCATTATATTTCTAAATTTTTGTTTATCCTTGGCTTTAGTGTATGGAAATACGACTCACATTGTTTTTGCGTATTATGTAGATTATTTTTTTTTAAAGCAAGTAGACCAACTGCTTTTCTGTAACCCATAATCAAGCCATATTGTCATGAAAGGCGGTTATGAAGCAAAATTTTGTGTGTAGACAAAGGCTAAATATATCTACAATATAGTGACTTATACCTTCTGGATGTAATTTCTTTTATACAATCAACTAAGTTTTAAAATGCAGACAATGGCTACTTTCCTTATGGATTTTAAACAGTTTTTTAAGATTAAAAAAAAGAAATAAGGCCTGTAAGGCTTAACACATTCTAGTCTGTTATTAAGTAACTACTTGATATGCCTGGTGTGGCTTGACTCAGACCATCCAAGCAAAGGTTGTCATATGTGGATGCAACTTATTGAATGATTAGTACTGTAATGCATCTACATGGAAAAATTTGAGTATATATTTTATTGTATAATTGTTTTGTATTTTAATTTCCATAAAGCTTGAAGATTTGGTATATAATATTACATTGACTGTACCTTACCTTGAGGTTACCTTGAGGTGCTTCCGGGGCTTAGTGTCCCCGCGGCCCGGTCGTCGACCAGGCCTCCTGGTTGCTGGACTTCTCAACCAGGCTGTTAGACGCGGCTGCTCGCAGCCTGACGTATGGCAGCCTGACGTATGACGTACCATTGAGTTTTGTGTAATACTTGGTGTACCGAGGTGGTTGGCCAAGTGTGTACCTGGGTAAAGAGTAGCGGTGTGGACGGATGTGGCAACGACACAACACTTTAATGAAAACTCCATCCAAAGATGTGATAGTTGTTAACTTAAGTCTTGTTGCAGTTTGTAATAGGGAAGAAGCTGCTATATTTGTAGCCTTTGTAAACGTGGTGTCAAATGTTGCTAGAGAGGTCTAAGTCAAGTCATTACTAGGAGTTGGTTAGGATTTGCCTTTTCTTTCATTGGTTTAATTTCCAATTAGGTATTATGTATTTACAACATATATTTTATTTTTCATATATTTTTTTATATGAGGATTTAGAGATATTACTCCCTGTATGAATACTGGCATAGGTGTGTGTGATTAATATTGAAGTTCAATGTTAATGAAGCAGACTTTTATCTTCAACTAGACAGTGGTGGATATTATTGTTATTAATTGTAGATAACAAACTGTTTTTCTTTTGAAATTCAAATACTCTGAAACCTTAGACTGAAATTGACTATGGTTGTAAATTACAATGCTAGATGTAAAATAATAATAAAATGCTTCTGCTTGCAAAACCAAAAAGTATTTTTTTAGGTAGCCATGGTTTTAGTCCCTCCCCATAAGTATATGGTTTCTCCCGACTTAGTTCAAATGCAAATAATCACGCCATGTTTTGACGACTCGGCAAATTATATATATTTTTTGAGGGGTCAGTAGTGTTTTCCTAGGGTTGGTCCAGAACTGGGAATAGAGATAATTAGGTTAGGCTGTATTGAGCCAAAATTGATTGCGGCAGCTTCCCATGTGACTTGGTATTGTTGCTTGGCACATTCATGCATGTTAATTTTTTGTTTATAAGGCATTACATTACACTTATTCATTCTTCACATTCTTCATTTAAATTTTCACTTTCTGAATCTGGATGTACAGTATTTTGATGGAAGGTACACAATTATTTTTTACTTTTGCAACAAATTTGTAATGAGATGCAGTATACTGTACTTGATGTCCATCCCAAGAAAATTGTACCAAAGAGTTATTAGCCTTTATGGTAGACATGAGACTAAATAGTTTGTCTTAACCATAATTGAGATCAAACATACCTTAAGTGTTTCAAAAACTAATTGACCAAATAGGTATGTACTGTATGTAAATTTTTTGAATACTTCGTTAGATGAGAACTATATTGGATATTAATTTGAACTTTAAGGAACCTGTTGGGCACAATGAGGTGTTCATGGCTCGATCACTCATTAAACGTACGACTGAACACCAATATTTTCTTTGTGACCAAATTAATTTTTATCACTACCATCGTCTTTTACCTTCATTCAAGAGTTGTCCTGATTAACAGCAAGAGATGTAACATTTTCTTCCTTTTAGGCTAGATTATTGGGCTGCATTGTTGCAGTTTTATTTTAGGCAATTGGAATACTGTACTTTGGTACATTCGTTTAGCCACTGGGTTAGATATGTTTTTACTGCAATTGTCAAAAATTTTCTCATTGCCAGAGATTTTTGTTCAGTATTATAAGTTTATTAGGTAAGAGAAAGGAAAGCCTTAACCCTTAAGCTGCGTCAAGTGGTCTTGGGTACCCTTCTGGCTACTGCACAATATGTACTATTAGAGGCTTTCTCTCGTGGTGGCTGGTTTACAGTTGGCATGAGACCTCTGTTGACCGTGGAAGTAACACCCACGGCAATATAGGTCTTATGCTGAAATGTCCTCAAGGAAACTAAATTCCTTTTTCTCTTTTGTACCTATACTGTAGAGTATAACTATCATGAACTACAATAATAGATAAATGCAAGTCGGTAATATCGATATTCGCGTGTTCAATACTGTATATTTATGTAAAGTAATAAAATGTTCAAGTGATTTCCAAAAATGAGAGAATATACATTACATACACGTAATATACGTATATTACGTAATATACATTAGTAAGGTACAATATACATTATACATTATATACAGGCGATGAGTCACAATAACGTGGCTAAAGTATGTTGACCAGACCCCACACTAGAAGGTGAAGGGACGCCGACGTTTCGGTCCGTCCTGGACTATTCTCAAGCGATTGTCTTGAGAATGGTCTAGGACGGAGAGAAACGTCGTTGTCCCTTCACCTTCTAGCGTGTTGTCTGGTCAAAATACATCATATATTTTATACATTATTACTTTGGGAAAATAATGAATGCAGTACAGTGTACGTGTTTACAACATGTATACAGTACATACAAACTCTCAGTTGACTGCTTGTTACCAATTGGGATGGCATTTGTTTTTTGCCACAACTTTACAACCAGGCCAGACCAATGCTATGACAAACAATTTTTTTTTTTTTCATTCTATGCCAATGATATTGCATCACTTCTAAATACAGGTAATTGTTTTTTTTATTGCACATTGAGGCAAATTGCATTTAAAAATCCCTGAGCCAATGGGTTAATGCTCCATGGTATTCATTTAGTCTCTGTTCTTTCTTTTTTGATTTGTACTAGTTAGACATTTAAACCTTTGCAGACCTAAAAGTATCAAAAGATATAATTCATTCTTTATTAGTTACAACAGAATTTACATTTTATAAATATTATAAGTATTGTACAGTACCTACAAATTCTTGAAAGAAAAAATTATTGGAAAAATATTTTATATTTTTTTATGAATTAAATTGGGGACATATTTTAATAACTGCACATTAACATTTGATCTTGAGACACTTTACTTTCTCACACAATTTACTACACCATTTGTTTGTCAAGAACGCCATACATTCCTATTACTGTACTGTACTCGGAATTCTTCAAATAAAAGAAAAACTACAGTGTAGTTGGCATATTTAAATACGTAAAGGCAATTATAAAATTGAATTTTGTTGTCTAGACTATTTTAACTTGATATAAAATATTAAAAACTTGTGTAGGCAGGTATGATTATTATCGGAATTTGTCAAGTAATGTAAATTTTGCAGTGATACAATTTCCTGGACATCAAATTTGAAAAGTGTTTGCCTAACTGTAAGTGATCGAACTTGAACCTATCCACCAAACTTTGTATGCTTATAATTTTGTTACAGCACCACAACACTATGATCAATAGTGTCGAAATCACTGTGCATCTAGTTTTAGGATAGTTTGAAATTGTTATAGGTCTTTGGTTTGAGGCCGAGTTGGGATATGTATTATGTATGTAACCATGTATACACACTGCTCTGTTTCCATTTTCTTTGATTCTTGGGATGAATTGTCGAGCCACAATAAATTGTCAAACTACTGGTTTGTAATTTATAAATACTGTAGGTATATGTAAGAAAATATGTATATTTTGTACACATACGGTACATGGATCTTAAATATTCAAGCTTATTATGTAAGCAGCACACTACACTATTAATATAAATTTTTTTAAATAATAATAATTCTTCTCTCCTCTCTCTCACTCTCTTGCTGTCTCTCTCACATGCATGTGCACACACACACACTCACGCATAAACACACAAACACACACACACAAAATTGTTTTGTATACTCACTTATGTGCTCATCTTTTTGTGCCTGCAGGATCTAACTTTAGTTTTGGGCCGTGCCTTCTCAGCCTTTGGGTGTCTCGTGTAATGATTCCCGACCCAAGTCTCATATCATACCTTTTAAAATTATGGATGGAGCTGGCTTCAGGTACTTTGTCTAGTTCATTCCATTTTTTGCATTAGTATGCTAAAGGAGTATTTTCTCATGTATGCATGACTCATTAATGACACATTATTTCTAGCGTTTCCTCCTTTTGCACCCTGCTATTTTCCCTAAGTATTCCGTCTCCTCTCTTCTAGCATCGTTGCTTCTTCTTGACCTTTATCATACTCCCATCGCTGAATGTTGTAGGACAATCCTTGTTGCAAATTTGTGTTCCTTTTCATGGTGAGAGTGTGAGTGGGAAATGAAAAACTTGCTTCAAATTATTTTTCTATGTGTGTAATATAAACATCATCATCATCCAAATTCATTTTAAATGAGTGGTATTATTGTATTCCCAGATAATAGTGTTTTTTCATTTCCTGTAGTTTTGCCAGAAGTTAATCCAAGGGAGATTTGGTTTCTCTTCCAAATCTTCATCACAGTAAAGTGTAATGTGGGTCTAGTATGAGAACATTTCAAGGGTTACTGTAGGAATAGAGTTGTGGTCTTGACTGTGACATAAATTTAGTCTGGCATAAATCTCTGCTAATTTTTGTGTTATCCTGCATTTAAAACAGATCATATTATTCTATGTTCCTATGGCTCCTGGTATAGCCAACATGTTTTTAATTGTAGAATGTCATTTTGCAAGAGGGAACAGTGTATGTACTTTTACTAGAGACAGGTGTATGAAGGAAGAATATCCCTCCAGTGCTTTCATAGTGCTTATACACAGGGCCGACCAGTCAAGTCCAGAGCACTTCCATTCTTAAGGTTTTGTATTTCCATTGCTATGAAACTGACTAGGTTTTGTGAGAGATTATAGTTTTGATTATCCATACAGTTTTAACCTGCCTTATGTGATGCATATTACACCAGCCACACAATGTGTATTACACTTCAGCTGTTATCCCTTGCTCGGCTTGTATGTTTGTTTATACTGTATAGGGAACTGCTGTTGTGGGTCTAATAGTTGGCTTCCAGTGCTTTTTCTTTTATGTACAATAAATGTTACTGCATCAAGTCGCCTTCCTAGTGTAAGCTTTATCCCATAATATTGAACAGAGTTATATAGCTTTCTAAGCTACTTAATGTTACTTTAAGAGATCAATACAGATGTTTGTGGTGATATCATCTCATGTGCTGTTGTGTTAAGTCAGAGGGCTCACCTGTTTGTGTGATACATTCAAGCTTGGCTTCAGTCAAGCATCAACTTGGATGTTAGATTTTCATGTTAGCAAAGACTCCCCAAAGTAAAACAATGTGTGCAATGAGCTCAGCTTTATTAAATTTCATATTTTATTGGGTTCTGTTTAAACCACATTGCTTTAATAAAGTTTCATACCAGTAAAGTATTTATTGGACGTATTGATAAAAATAATTTGTTGTGGAATTTGATCCAAAGTGTTAAGTTGTATCTATATTATTGATTTCTAGAAATTGTAAATTGCAATTCAGAGGTATAGACTTGGTCATGTAATTTTGTATTTACACAATTGACATCATTCTGATAATCATTATTACTCCATATTTGTGTCATATATTTTTATTATTGAATACTTGCAACTCTTTTATTGTTATTGAATACTTGCAACAAGATGTAGTTACTAATTAGTATTTTAGTTTAAGAATTTCTCATTTTTTTTTTAATTAGGATAAAATTAAATTGTACAGTCAGATAATTCTAAATGTAAACTCTGATGGTGACTCAAAGAAGGAGTATAATGCGTGCATCGGTTGGGGGGGTTACCTTGAGGTGCTTCCTCAAGGGTGTCTGCAGTTCATAAGTCCGTTCACACTCATAATGGCCGCTGAGAATTTGTTACCAGCATGCGCAGCTAATGTGTAAGGTTATCACAGAAAGATTATAGTACGTGCTTTTCGTTAATGTAACAATAACGATGTATGCCTTTTTTAATAAATTAATACATGCATGTCTGGAGTGGCCCTGGAGAGGCCACTCCAGACCAACAACCAGAGTGCAACTCCATAGTCTTCTGAGACTGATGGATGCCTACTACATGCATGCATACATATGGCAGCTGAGCCTGAGAAGGGGTCTGACAGATGAGCCTGAGAAGGGGCCTGAGAGAAGGGGTCTGACAGCCGAGCTTGAGAAGGGGCCTGACAGCTGAGCTCTAGTAGGGGCCTGACAGCTGAGCCTGAGAAGGGACCTGACAGCTGAGTGCACAGCGCTTCGGAATCATAGTCCTGAGGTTCCAGGTTCGTAAACAGGTACCTGGAAGTTAGACGGCTGCTATGGGCTGCTTCCTGGGGGGGTATGTAACAAAAAGGAGGCTTGGTCGAGGATCGGGCTGCGGGGATGCTAAAGCCCCGAAACCATCTCAAGATAACCTCAAAATATATATATCCATACATGCACACATACGTATATACATATACACATATACATACATGAATACACATGTTTCATCCCCCACATCCATTAAAACCCTCAAAACCCAACCCAACACATCATACCCCACCCCACACTGGACACCCCACACACAACTCACACATGCACTACTGGAGTTCTATGATAAAGCAATGAAAATAAGTTAGGACAAAGAAGGTTGGGCAGATTATGTATTTCTG